CACCCTATGGGGCCACGAACCGTCTGAGGGGTGCGCCAAAATGGCGCGGGGCCGCCATGCGAACCCTGACACAGGGGCCTTCGGTGGAGTTCACTATGGGGCCACGATCCTCGGGAGGGGTGTGCCGAAATTGCCCGAAACCGCTGATGAGAGGAGGGGGGAGGGGGCAGCGGGAGGAGGAGGAGGTGAGACGCGGGGCGCTGTCTCTTCAAAACGAAGACCCAACACCACACGATGGTTGGAAACAATACAAAACACACTCTGCCTCCAAATTCGGAGCATGCGCAGCAAACCCGATGCGGCCTCCCCCCACCATCCCTCAAACAAACAATACAGAGTACATTTGGCGGCGGCGGCGACTGCGGCGGGTGCGGCGGGTGCAGCGGCTGCGGCGGTTGCGGCGGTGGCGGCGGCGGGGGCGGCGGCGGCGGCGGGGGCGGCGGCGGCGGCGGCGGCGGCGGCGGCAGCGACTGCGGCAGCAGCGGCTGCGGCGGCGGCGGTGATTCGGCAGCGGGGGCGGCGGCGGCGGCGGCGGCGGCACGCGGCGCGGTGGCGGCGGCGGCGGCGGACAGCGGCGGCGGCGGGCGGCGGCGGCGGATGCGCCCCCAGTGGCTACCCATCCAAAGACGACTGCTGCATATGCTGCGTTTCGGGCCAGGCTCGGGTGTTACGTCTGTGTTGGGAGGGCGGGTGGGAGTGAGCGAAGGGCTTGCGGGCGGGGAGGGAGACTCTTGACCCCTCCCCCTACTCCCTCCCCTGGACTGGGACGGGGCGCCCCACGACTTCTTGTAGCGCCCAAGATGGCCACGGCGACATGGACACGTCTCACCAATGCTACTCAGATTGAGGGCCAATGTTGGCCTCCTGGGGGGCGGACTCGAATTTACGACCCCCCCTTCCTTGGTCGATCTCCTCCAAGATGGCCCCCGAAGCCCCCAGGAGTGCCCCAAGAGGCCCCAAGAGGCGCCCTGGAGGCCCCAAGAGGCTCCCAGGAGGTTTCCGAGAGACCCGCAAGAGACCCGCAAGAGGCCCCAAGAGCCTTCCCCGGGGCACCCAAGACGCTCTAAGAGGCCCACAATACCGCCAAGAGGCCCCCAAGACGCGCCAAGAGGACACACAACAGCTTTCAAGAAACATCCGAAAAAAAACTCCGAGGGGTATCCCAAAGCCCTCTGACCATTCAGTTCGCCCTCCTCCTCCTTCTCCTCCTCCTCTTTCGCCCGCTCCTCCTCCGATTCCTCCCACATCATCCCCCTTCTGGGGTATGGTGGCACCCCCATACAATCATTCCACTGCGTGCTGCTCCACACCCCTGATCAAAGCAGCTCGCCGGGGCATCGTTTCTGGATGGGCTGGTGGGGTTACATTTTTTGATCGCGACCGCAAGCGGGCACCCGCGCGGCGCCAAAGGGTCGAACAGCACAGGGCCAAGGCGTACAGCGCAACTGTCGCCAGCGAAGCGCAGGAAAGAAGGTGCTGGTGGGGTTACTTTGTTGGTCAATAAGCTCGCGAAGCGGGTCGAACATCGTCCAAACACTAGTAGGGCCGCGACTAGGCAGCAGGAAGAAAAAGGCAAGCGAAGCGAGCGAGCGGGCAGCCACTCAAAAGGAGAGCCAGAACCAATACTCCCAAACCTGGTGGCGTTGGAAATCCCGGCGGCGACCAGCAAGTAAGCGCAGCCAAACTGGCGCGGAGGCGCGACCATAAACACGCAGAGGTCGATCGCTCGGTGTGAGTCAGGCAAACAGCACCATCCGTGAAATAGGCGACACACATGGCTGGTGGGGTTACTTTTTTTTGATCCGCGGCCCGCAAGGAAAAGTCCAGAGGGCGTGTCAATCGGGCTGACTGGGGCACAGAGCCAGATAATTTGCGAACACAGCCGTCACTGTCGAACTGGTGGGGTTACGCGAAGCGACCAGAATCCACCACCGTGCCTTCGGCAGGCAGTGGAGTGCCCAATGGCGCACGCAGCTCTGCGAGGCAGAGGGCCTGCGGCTCGAAAGGGCTCTCGAAGCGCTCCCGGGCGAGAGTGCGCCCTCCGCGGGCGTGTCTCCTGAGCTGTGGGACGCTCCTCCTCCTCCTCCTCCTCCTCCTCCTCCTCTTCCTCCTCCTCCTCCTGGAGAGCCCCACGACGGGCCAGGAAGAGCCCAAAGAGGCCCCAACGACGGCCAAAGAGGTTTTCGAAGCGTCGAGCCATCAGTCCAAGGCGCCCAACAGGGCCACCAGACGGCCGAAGATGCCCTCAAGACGCCCCAAGAGGCCTCTTGAAAGAGGTTGGCGTTCTCGCCTGTTCGGCTTCCTGAGGCTCCAGGACGGCCCCAGAGGCTTTCAAGACCACCCCAGGACGGCTCAAAAGGCCTCCAAGAGGACCGCAGAACGGTCAAAAAGAGCTTCAAGACTGCGCAAGAAGCTCCAAGACGGCCCAAGCGCCCCCAAGACGGCTGCAAAAGGGGGCCCAGACGGGGGACCGGAAGGGATATGTCGAACACTCGACCCAAAGAGGCCCTCACGAGGCCCCAAGACGGCTCCCAAGAGTCCACTACGAGGCCCCAAGGAGGACTAAAAGAGGCCCCGAAGCAGCCCCCCAAAGACCTCAAAACTGCCTCCAGGCCCTCGAGAGGACTCGACGAGGTCCCAAAGAGCATGCAACCGGCAACAGACCCACAACCCAGGTACGGTGGCGACAGGGGCCGAATGCAATTACATAGACAATGAAAGACATGAACACCGACAGTGAGGTCGCACGTCTGTAACAGACGACGCGAGACATCATCAGGATGCATCGTCGTGGCAAGTCTGGCGGACGCGTTTGCGGGGATCGCGGCCTATTGGTATACGGGCCGCGAAACGAGCGGGGCCGCACATGCAGGAAAGGGAAACACGGGGAGGAAGAGGGGGGCAGGGCAAACAAGTACGGAAATAACGGGGACGGAGGCAGGGGGAAAAGCACGACAACGATAACTAGAAGGACGACAACGACACCCACCACCTGATGTCTGATATCTGAAACGCTCTGTCGGAGGAGGTGCATTCTGACTTTCTTGCGCACCTGTCCCAACCCAACTCGTCTGCGTTTCACCATTTTCAGAAGATCGCTCTCACCATCAGCTCCAGGCCTACTCGCTCAGCTGCCACTCTTGTTCGGCCGATCTCGTCCTCCTCATATCCCCAACGTTCTGCGAAATCGTGCGGATCGGACCTGCAACGAGAAAGCCACAAACGGCAAGCTGGGTCCACCAAATCCGCGGACACACACACACACACACACACACCTGCAATAATCAAGGCCATTTAACAACGAGGCAAATATAGCCCCTTACAAGCGATGCGCACGCGTAAGCGAGGGCGATGGAAAGGCATCCATGTGCGAAAACGCAAGACCCGAACGTGAACATCGTGATGATTCAAGGAACAACAACCTATTATTGCCCACGACTGCGTTGCACGATTGGAGGCTGGGGGGTTGCAACGTCTTATTCGAAACCGTCAAAACCAGGGAAATCGCTGTGCGAAGTCACGCACATTTGCGCGACTTCCCCAAGACCTGGACTCCAGTTCAGTCAGGCAGCCTCCTGCCACAGGGGAAAAAGGACGAGGGGGAGGAAGACGAGGAAGAGAGGTGAGGAGGAAAGAGGAGGCAAGAGGAGGGAGGAGGAGAAGAAGGGATGGAGCATTAGGGAGGAGGCGATCCATCAAACGACCCCCTGGTGACTGCACTTGGCCGAGGTGGATGGTGCGAAGAGGGCTTCCTGCTCTTGCCAGCAGGTGGTGGGTGCCTGGCTTCGTGGAGTGTCGTGGTGTATCGTAGCGACGTCGTGGTGTCGCGGCTTCGCGGATTCTTGGGTTGTGGAATGTATCGCGTTGTCGTGGTGCCGTCGGGCGTCGTCGAGGAACGCGAGATGCCGCGGGGCGTCGCGGGGTGTCTTAGGGTGTCGTAGGGTGTCGTGGGGCGCCGTGAAGTGTGAAGGGGTGTCCAAGGGGTATCCTGGGCTTCGTGAAGGGTCGTGTGATGCCGCGCAGGGTGTCGTAGCCTGTCGTAGCGTCGCGGTGACCTGGTCGTTGTGTGGTAGTGCCGTGGTGCCGTGGTGTCGCCATCGCGGGGATTCTGCTGCCAATGACAGCACCGCCAAGATCGTAGCTCCGCGGCGCTCTTCGCCATCACCGTGGCCTTCGGCCAGGGCCCCAGCCCCGCGCAACGGCGGAATCGCTCGCAAAACGAACGACCTGCACGGGCTGCGCACCGGAGAAAAAGCTGCCGCACGGAGGCCGATCCCGCAACCTGTCTTCGCACGACGCGGCCGATCGTCGCAGCGCGCTGATACTAGCACTAATATCGCAATGCAAAGACCGACCACAACGACATTAAAACGAAATGGCACTTAAAACGAACAACTAAACGAAGCCCAACGTTTAAAACAAACGTTCAAAACGAACCCGGTGCCAAACGAAACGCTGACCGAACCGAGGCGTTCAAAACGAAAACGAAACATGAAAAGACACAGAAGCGAACAACGAACACGACAAACAAAACAAAGGCCCCAAAAAGCTAAACAGCGTTGTGGTCGGCTCGCGTCGCAAAACCACGTTCGGTGATCGTCGCAACTGCAGTCGCGCATTCAAGCTGTTCGGTCACAAGCGCGACAAGGCGTTAAGAAGGCGCGGGCGTACAGAGTGTTGCCGGGGGCGTTTCTACAACGAAACCTCATGCCGCATTCGCACGAAGGCGACCGCGGGCGCTCGCGGGGTACCATCGTTTTGTCCGTCTCCCTCTCTCTCTCTCTCCCTCCCTTTCTCTCTCTATCCCTCGGGTGTAGCCAGATGTGTCCCTGGCCCAGTGGTGCCCCCAGGGTTCCCAAGGAGACCCCCTGAGGCCCAGAGGGGCCCCCAAGTGCAGCAGACAGCTGTGGACACCTCGGGCCAAGGACACCCTTGGTAAACCCACCGGATGAAGCGCGCTTGACGGACGTCGGTACCAAATGAGACGACCACATGTTAGCCTCGGCCACGCTGTCGCAGATGCGCGCGCACTTCTCGAATACCTGCAGGCTGGATGGATGACGACGTCAGACAGGGCGAAGACACGCGCTGCCAGTGGCCAGATAGGACGAACGAAATCAACAATGCACTCCAATCACTACGTCGAACATGTGGTGGTCACGGACGAATGGTATGACACTTTCGCAACAACGCACGCACGCGTGAACAACAACCTATGCGGGACGACGACGTGACGACGACACACATCATATCATGAGAACACGGATAACGGACACTCGCGGGCAACATCTGGCATGTGAACACAATCGGATACTACCCCCTGTCAAAAATCCTCGGCACGTGCATGTTAGACGCCTGGGCGCTAATTTCCAAGGGGTGCGCTTCCCATGCCGCATGAAACAGCGACGAGGATGTCGCGCTGAGCCAAAGGGGCCTGCAGGAACTGTCGGATCGCAAGATCGGGTAGGATCGGAACACACATCGAGTCGGTTCCCCCCCCCACTGGAAGGCCTTCTGATAACTGCACAAGTCTGAGTGCACCCGCTGGGCGACGCTAGTGCCCATTCTGCCTCCCGAAGGGCATCCTGGCACTTGCCACTTACGCTCGCCCACGCGGGCGTGAGGCAAGAAAAAGAGCGCGACGCTGCCGCGCTGCTGCGTCGGCGCGCGGCGCGCAGCTGGACGCCAATAAGTGCCGCGCAACTACATGCACATCGATAGCTGGTTGGCCAATTCAGCCCAAACGAGCAAGACGGAGAAGCAGGCCGCGCCACGTCGGCGGCCCCGAGATCTTCAGCCTCTGGCGCTGGAGGCACTAGGCTGGCGCTCGTGAGGAGGAGGGTTCGGTTCTGAGCCCCGCGGGCGCGATGCCGTCAGTCTCTGGAGCTGAAGACGCCCTTGCCCTTGCCGATCACGTGCGAGTCGCACTCTTCGTAGGCGCCGCATGTCTTACTCTTGCTCGCGCCGTTGACTCCCGACGCGGCCTGGTTAGTCTCGGTCTCCGTCGGGGCCTGCGCCTTCGTGGGGCGCGCTGCGTTGACGGGCCAGTCGCGCCCGGTAGACTCGCGCGCGCAGGAAGAGTCCGCCATGCATGCAGAGACTACGACCTGCTTAGCCTTGTCGACCTGCACCTGCTTCATGAACTTCGAGGGTAGCTCGAGCTCCGCCTTCTGGCCATTCTTCATCAACCCCTCCGCCCGCTCGGACTTGAAACCGTTATTGGTGGCCCCCTTGCGGGCCCGAGTGTTCTTCAGGATCACAGCGTCCTTGTCGACGAATCCTTGTCGACGAACTCGAACTGGCGCATCTCTGAATTGATATTGAATTGGCGGTTGATGCCGACGATAGCGGTGTCCTGCGCGCCGCGGGCGCGACGCCGCCGCCCCCTCTGCTGCCGCTTGGCCTCTTTCCCGCACTGGGGCAGCGCCTCCGCGCCCTCCCTGAAAACGCCATGCCCCGCGACGTTCTGGAGCGTTGCCGCCCCGCCGATCTTGATCGGCCCGTCACGGACCGCCACCTCAACCTTCGCTTGCAGGACGGCCTTGGTGAGCTCGATCCGCGCCAGGATCTCGTGATACACCTCCTTATCCTCGCCCTGCAGGTTGCCGCCGCCAGCCTGGGCCGCTTGCCAGAGGGCCACCGCTGTGGCCGCCACCACCTGGCGAGAGCCGCCACCGCTCACAACAACATCGAGGAGAGCCTCCTCCATCGTGTCGGCCATGACCGTAGCCAGCTCGAACCAGGAGCTGGACGAGCAGGCTGCTTGAGCCAAAATGGCTTGAGCCACAATAGCTACGGACATACATACATCGAACCGGGCTGCATCGGCGACGGAATTGGAATCAAATCAAATCGTCAGCACCACGCTGCACATCAACGCCATGCAAACATCGGGCCGCATCGGATCGTCAGCAATGCGGATTCGAATCGGATCGGGCCGATCAGAATCGATACCGAACCGATTCCGCATAAGAAACAGGAAGCAGGAGAAGCGGGATTCGGCGAACGTGTGGCGGGAGGTCGGCCGTCCGTGTCAAGGCTGTCCAACGGGCCACCCTCTCTCGCAGATCGACAGCGTGGCTCACCAGAGCCGAAGCGACCGAAGCGAACCCCATCTGGGAGAGAGGCGAAGCGCCTCTGGGGGTGGGCAATCGATGACAGAGACAGGGGGGAAATTGTGGAACAAAAAAAATGCACCGATACAGTAGGGGCTCGACCACAAGAAACCTCCAAGAAGAAACCCAACGCTGAGACCCCAGGACGTCCATTGTTTTTTTTATGGTGCGTGACCGTCATGCTCTCCATCGCAAAGCCAACGAAACCCAAGAAACCTCTGGCCATGGAGACAAAGTCCTCCTCCTCCTCTTCCTCCTCCTCCTCTCCCTCTTTCTCTTTCTCTTTCTCTTTCGCTTTCTCTTTCTCTTTCTCTTTCTCTTTCTCCTCCTCCTCCTTCTCCTCCTCCTCCTCCTCCTCCTCCTCCTTCCTTTGAGAAAGGAAAAGGCAAAAATGGCAAAAGGAAAGAACGAGAGGACGACAGAGATGGGGCACAGGGTAGGGGAGGAGCACACAGGCAACACACATAGTTTCTCGGAGGTCCGCGCGGATTGTTTGGTTCGGCGCTGTACCTCCCTCCCTGGCGCGGTCTCAGAGGCGCCGCCAGGGGAGGGCCAACGCCGATCCACTAGATCCGCGCGGATCTCCGATAATTCATGTTTATGCCATTGTCTGTTTTCCGAGTCCATTGGCAACTCATGGGGACCTCCCATACCATCTTGCCGTATCTTGCGAATCGGCGCTGATCGACGCTAATCGACGCTAAATCGACGCTAATCGACGCCAAGTGACGCGAAGTCTGCGCTATCTCATGGATTACCAAACGCTAATCGACGCTAGCGCACTCGAAAGATGGAGTTGCGAGGGTATACAAGGCTCCCATCATGTGCCACCGAATTCGAGGAAGGGGGGGAGCGGGAGGGGGGAAGCTTCTCTGAAGGAGGCTGTAGGAGGCATCAGCCTAACATATATATATATATATATATATATATATACATATATATGCATAAGGCCCACGCCTTCTATAAAGGCGTACTTTTCAGAAGACCTCCCCTCTCCCTACCCCCCTCTTCCTGTTCCTGGTTTCTGGTTCTTCGAGTGAGGGGCAACGACAGGGGGGACTGGCATAGGGGGGTGGGGGGGGGGGGAAACATTGATCTGGAATCGGAGATACATCGCCGATAGATCGACGACAGGACCCAAACAACGAGTCCGCATGTTCCGTGGCGGGATTGGGCTATCAGACCCCCATCGGTGATCAATGGGCGCGTGGGGGACGATGCATCCCCCCCCGATGCCCCCGATTTCGAAGAAGGGGAGGCGGTGGAGGGGGGAGGGCGAGGAGCCCGATTGGGGAGGGCGACCGAAGCGTGAGCAGCCCCACGCCTCGCCAGCAGGGATCGACCTGAACAGTGTGCTTCGTTTTTGTGTTGGTTTCGCTCTCCCTCGCTCTGTCTTCGTTCCGCCTTTGGTGCACCACGAAATCGAAACGCAAACGATTACGACGATGACAATGACGACGATGACGATGAGAATGACGACGATGATGGCGACGATGACGATGATGACGACGATTACGATGTCATCATTGTCATCTCATCAATGTCATTGTTATCGTCATCGTCATTCTCATCAAACGGACCACGAAATCGTAAAAACACAATTTGGGTCGAGCCCCGCCTCCGCACCGGCGGCGGGGCGGCGCCTGTGAGCCGAGGCTGCTGGCCGTGGCGTTCGGGTCCGCGCCGGCGCCCTCGAGGAGGGCCCTCAGCGCTGAGATGTCCGGATCGCGCTCGAAGTTGTAGCAGCACCTGTAGGATGGTGTTGCTGACGATGATGGTGGTGGTTATGGTGGTGATGATGACCATCGGATGTTGGTGGTGCTGATGATGGTGGTGATGATGCAGCTGATACCGGTGATGGTGGTGATAATGGTGATCGTGATGATGATGGTGCTGATGATGAACACCAGCAGCATCATTATCCTCCTCCTCCTGGTCATCATCATCATCATCATCATCAGCATCATCATCATCATCACCATCATTATCATCATCAGCAGCAGCAGTGTCATAATCCTCAACATCATCATCAGCATGACCATCATCACCCTCATCCTCCTCCTACTCCTCCTCAGCAGCATCATGATCGGCAGCAACGATCTCGTCATTCACATGATCATCACCATCAGCATCACCATCACCAGCAGCAGCGTCATCATCAGCATCAGCATCAGCATCATCATCACCATCATCAGCATCGTCATCGTCATCATCACCAGCATCAACATAATCAACATCATCATCATCATCATCAGCATCATCATCATCATCAACAACAATATCATCAGCAGCAGCAGCATCATCAGCATCAGCAGCATCTTCTCCATCAGCAGCAGCAGCAGCACCATCATCATCACCACGACCACTAACACACCAACCATCGTCATCACCCTCCTTCTCCTCATCCTCCTCATCCTCCTCCCTCTCCTCCTCGCCCATCATCCTCCTGCTCCTCCTCACCCACCCTCCTCCTTCTCCTCCTCCTCTCTCCTCCTCCCCCTCCTTTTCCTCCTCACCCATCCTCCTCCTCCGCCGTCGTGGTGGTCGCCGTCGTCGTCATCACCACCAGCGCCCAACCTCGCGGACCGCGCCCGCGAAATGCGCGACGGGCGGCTCTCGCCGCGCCTCCACGCCCTCCGCGTCCCCCCAAGGCCGCGACGCGCGGGGCGCGAGTCGCATCGCTCCCCCCCCCCAGGGTGCCCCAGCTCTCCCTCTTTCCCTCCACCTTCTCCAGGAACTCCTTCCCTCTCTCTCTCTCTCATTAGTCATTCCTATAGGAGTGTCTTCATTTCTTTATATCTCTCTCTCTCTCTCTTTCTCTCTCTCTCTCTCTCTCTCATTCCATGCTGGCTTGGCCGCGCACTTCATCTCCATGAGGAGGAGCGCCGTCGCCGCCTCCTTGGAGTGCAGACCAGCAAATCAAGAAGAACAAAAAGGGAACTGGCAAGTTCTGGCAGCAGGGTGTGGAGGGACCAAAGTAAGAACACGGCAGCAGTAGAAACGCGAGGCAGTTGGAGCAAGCCAGCGCAACAATGGGGAAGAGTTGATTGGGACTGTGCGTATGAAGCATGGAGACGATTGGATACTACCAGCCATGTGGGCGCAATATCTCTTCCAACCCCCGTCCTCCCCTTCGGGGAGGGGTTTACCAATGCCCCGTATTAGCGTACATCCTCTCCCCCAAACTGCACGTGGCGGCAATGGATCATTAGCGGGACCACCACCGCCCGCACGCACTTTACACTGATGCCTGACAGGGATGGCGGGGGCGTGAGCGTATGAATCTGCTGGGCGCTGCCAACCCACTACCCCCGCCAAAACGCATGCACAAGAATGGCGGGTGCACGCACCATACTCCGTGCTGACCACTTGTACGGCTTAGGGTTGCGCACATCCAGCCCCTGCAGGTAGACCCAGCTGCCCTCCAAAGGCCCCCCGAGTGATTCCAGCTGGCCCCAACAGGCACCCCGAGTGTAGTGCGCGGCGGTATCAACACCCCGGCGCCGCCTGTGGCGGCGCCCCTGTCGCGCTCGGCGCCCCAGGGTTGGGGCATTGAGACCGTGCCAGACTCTTCGGGGGGGCCTGTTGAGGCCAGCTGGACTTACTCGGGGGGCATGGGGACGCTGCATGAGCGCAACCCGAAGCCTTACCACCACCCCCGCACTTCGCAATTGCTTTTGACACAGACGGTCGGGGGGTCGAGATACTGCCAGATGTGCGGTATCGCGCGCAAAGCGGCGCACTGGTGGCAACAAAAGCGAGCCGCGGACGTGGTCCTGGTACGCGTAACGTACCGCCCGAGCGTCGCGCCCCTGGCGTCCGTATTGGTTCCGCATTGGTTGTCCATGCAATGGCGCCCTGTGACACAGAAGCCCTGCGCGCTTGCCCACTACCCCTGTCAAAAACACATGCGAACTGATTGCGGTCGCACGCGCCATGCACCACGCCACCATGCTGGCCACCCCACCTCAACTCCCAACAACTTCTGACAAGACAAGGGTGGTGGGGGTGCAGAAGAACTCGGAATCAAATCGATACGTCGGATCGGCGATAGAAATGGGAAGGATAGGCGGAAATCGGCAGGCTTGTAAGCCTCCGTAAGGAGATCGGAATCCAGATCGGAATCCGAAGTCGAATCGAATCGGAATCGGGAGCCATCGAAATCGACTCGAATCGAACCGGAGGAATCAAAATGAGCCCTGGGGGGACCGACATATTGCACAGTGCGTGCTGCACGTGGCGCATCTGGCCCACCGAGCACCGGGCGCGCCTGGGACATCTGTGCACTCGGGCCCCCCCGGTGCGCTTTGGCGCACCTGGCAGGCGTGGCGCGCCTGTTGAGCGCCGCGCCCCTGCCGCTGGTATTGCACGAGAACAGCGCTTATGCACCGCACCATGTTTAAACTCCCTCCGGGCCTCGCTCCGACGCGGTACTGGTGCATATTTTGTGGCTCTGAGCTCGGCGGCGAGCGAGGGGGGGAAATGAAAAGGAGAAGGCCTTCTCAGAAGTCGGCAGGACTTCTCAGAAGCCCCCACGCCTTCTGAGAAGTTTTCTCTGTCTTCGGGGAAGGCTCAGAACACTTCTCAGCAAGCTGGGGGACTTCCGAGCCTTTTGAGAAGGCCTTCTCCTTCTCACTTCCCCCCCTCGCTCAATGCCCATCCCTGGGTCGAAGATCGGCACCGCTTCTGGAGGCGCCACCGCGGTACGGTGCATACATACTGTCCGCGGGTAACGGTTTCCGCTTGGTTGTCCATACGATGGCGACTTATGCCTGTGCTGAGTCTCCTTTGTTGCTTACGTGGGAGATGGGGTTGCGGGTGGAAGTGAGCGAGACTGCCTGTGGCGTGCTCGTTTGGGACTTGACCACCTCCCGTTGGTCTGAAGGGGAGGGCACAACGCGTCAGAGCGTTCAAGATGGTCTACGAGAGCGGCACACAATAGCCCAATATCGGTCAACATAGCCCCCAACGTGCCCGTAATGGGACGCACAAAAACATACTAGTATCATGTCCTCCTTGGAGGCGCGCGTCCGACCCGACCATATATCACACCCAACTCGTAGTATATCGTATCCCGAGCGGTGTGGCCAGAAAGCGTCCGCCACGACGCATATATTACACGATTTCTCGGTGCGCGTGTCGCCACTGGGTGGGGGGGGGGCGACGCACATTTAGTATTAGTATGTTGGGGCGACGCCATTGCACGGAATCTTCAGACCGCCTCATGACAACTCCAAATGTGCAAAAATTATACTACCAACGATGCCCCTGAACGAATCCCAACTCCTGCAATAACCGTGACGCGAAGCCTGGCCGGCCACGAAGCAGCCATGCGGAATACATGAGAAACCTCCCAAGCACCTTCCTGGGACATCTTTTTGGAAGTATTTTAGAAAGAAGCCCTCCTGGAACCTTCTGGAGGAAAATTTAAGGACGGTTTGAAAACGGGCCTTCTTGAAGCCTCCTTGAAACCTACCCTCGGTGCGCGACCCGCGGCCCCAGCGGCCCGTGGCCGACTATATGGAGCCGCGCGGCCTGGCCGCGGAGGGGCGTGGCACGGCTCCGTGCTGCCCCCGCGCGGCGAAAGCGAGTCGGCGCCCCTCTGTGATCGGCGCCGGGGGGAGGAGCCCTTCGTAGGGGAACAGAAAGTAGCGTAAACATAAAAACTCGGAGGTCAGCGCGGATTTCTCGGATCGGCGCTGGGCCCCCCCGGCGGCGCCTCCGGCGCCGCCCCTGGCGCGCTCCGCTCGCCAGGGAGGGGGAGTCCAGCGCCGATCCGAGAAATCCGCGCGGACCTCCGAGTTTTGTTCCCCTACTTCGGAAATGCACGAGGCCGAGGAGGGCTGCGCTGCCCCTCTGATGGCACCTCGTGGCATCAGAGCCCAGTCGCACGACGCAGGACCTCCCTGCCACAACGACCGCGAGCGCGGCCACCACGACCTCGAGACGGCAGGCCACGAAGACCACGGCCACGGCGGCCACGGCGACTGCCGCCGCCACGGCGATGGCGGCGGATGTGGCCCTGCTGCCCAGGCCCGACTGCCCGCTCCCTGGGGGCGCGGCTGAGGACTCTCCTAAGATTGTGATGGTCCCAACGCCTCCCGCGCGGGTGCATCTCGGCTGCACCTGAACGGGCCGGCAGGGTCACACGCTGGCGTCGGGCAGATGTCTGGCTACTGCACGCGCTGCAGCATGTGCCCCCTGAGTGCGAGGCCCACGAATCGACTGGTTTGCCCCAATCGCCTGGGGCCACTCGCAGCCCCTGGTGACCCTGACCCTCGTATGCGAGGAGGGATGGCTCAAGCACGGATTTTGTAGTGTTCCCTCGAGGCCCTCGCGTGTCGGAGAACGATGCCCAAGAGACGATTCGGCTGCGTGAATTGAAGCCCAAAATGATCGACTTGGATGTCCCCCAAGCCCCGTGCCCCTTCCGTGACTTCCACCGAACACAGCGTGTATGAGTGCATGACACGAGTCGCCTCGGGCATACCTGTAGCGCGTAACGAGTTCCTGAGCATGGGCTGCAGCCATCGCGCCACGATGGGGAGCGAAACAGAAGTATAGAAGGGGCGCTTCTTTTCTGGCCACGGCAAGCCTCGACAACCTCCAAGCTCTCAAACCTAGATCCCAGGCATGAGCCGCAAACCATAGCCCCTCCTGAACACAAGATGGTCTTTCTTTCAACGTCTTGACTGAACAGTCGCAATCAGTTGTCAGGATGGTGTTCAAGGGTGCAAACCTTTGTAACGCCTCATTTCGGCAGCGTATCATTGGGCTTGGGAAGCCGAACGCGCGGTAAGGATGAGCAGAACTCAAGGATACGAGGTGCCCTTGCGAAAAGGGCCCTTCTTTAACGCAAGGTTTGACTGTACTGGCTGGATCACCTGGCCCTTGCGATGATCGGGTAATCACTGGGCGAAGGCTGCGGATCCTTCTTCGTGGACGTGATGTCCCGGCCGGTGCTCTCCAAGTGCGGCCGTAGCGCCGCCTCCACCTCGACGGGCGACAATGTTAAGTAAGCCCACCCGTTTTCGCTTGATAATCGATGCACCGCTTGGAGAAGGAATCAACAATCGTTCAACCTTCGAAGGGCCGATCTGGGCAACAGAACGGTATGACAGGAGCCCCGAAGCGTGGTGCGAGAGGTCCAGACAACGAAAACCATCATCTGCCACCGTGCCTGCACGGAGTGGGCGTGTAAGAATGCTCCTGTGGTTCCCTGGCTCTTTTTCCCAACCATCCTGTGGTATTGGTTCCTCGTTTTGAAGCAGCAACGCCCCGCGTTCGCTTCTCACTCCTCACTCCTCCTCCCACCTCCCTCCCCTCACTCCTCCCACCTGCCCTCCGCATGTCTCCATGTCGGCACACCCCTCACACGGTTCGTGGCCCCACAGGGAGCTCCACCAAAGGCCCCAGTGGCAGGGTTCGCATGGCGGCCCCGCGCCAATTTGGCGCACCCCTCACGCGGTTCTTGGCCCCATAGGGAGCTCCACCGAAGGCTCCAGTGGCAGGGCTCGCATGGCGGCCCCACCTAATTTCGGCACACACGCACACACACACACACACACACACACACACACACACACACACACACACCGCACGCTTCGTGGCCCCATAGGGAGCTCCACCGAAGGCCCCAATGGCAGGGTTCGCACGGCGGCTCCGCCCCAATTCGGCACATCCCTCACACGTTTCGTGGCCCCATACCATAGGGAGCCCCACCGAAGGCCCCAATGGCAGGGTTCGCATGGGGACCGCGCCCCGTTTCGGCACACCCCTCACACGGTTCGTGGCCCCATGGGGAGCTCCATCGAAGGCCCCAGTGGCAAGGTTCGTATGGCGGCCCCGCCCCATTTCGGAACACCCCTCACACGTTTTTTAGCACCATTGGGGGACTCCACCGAATGAGCCCAGTGGCAGGGTTCGCATGGCGGCCCCGCCTAATTTGGGCGCACCCCTCACACGGTTCGTGGCCCCATAGGGAGCTCCACCGACGGCCCTAGTGGCAGGGTTCGCAGGGCGGCCCCGCCTCCATAGCGGCACACCACTCACATGTTTTGGCACCATTGGGGGACTCCACCGAATGGCCCCAATGGCAGGGTTCGCCTGGCGGCACCGCTTCCATTTCGGCACGCCCCATGCACGTTCCGTGGCACCATAGGGAGCTCCACTGCAGGCCTCAGCAACAGGGTTCGCATGGCGGCGTCGCCTCCATGTCGGCACACCCCTGACACGCCTCGCGGCCCCACATAAAGCTCCGCCGAAGACCCTGGTGGCAGGGCTCGTGTGTATTCCTCTGCGTATTCCCAACCAACCTGTGGTGTTGGGCCCTCGTTTTGAAAAGACAGCGCCCGCGTCCTCCTTCCTTCCTTCCTTCCTTCCGTCTCCCCCCCTCCTCCTCCTCCTCTTTCTTCCCTGCGTTTCGCCAACCCTGTTCAGCGCTTCGTGGCCCCATAGGGAGCCCCACCGAAGGCACCAAAGGCGGGGTTCGCATGGCGGCCCCGCGCCATTTTGGCGCACCCCTCATACGGTTCGCGGCCCCATAGGGAGCTCCATCGAAGGCCCCAGTGGCACGGTTCGCATGGCGTCCCCGCCTAATTTGGGCGCACGCCCCGCGCCATGTTGGCGCACCCCTCACACGGTTCGTGGCCCCATAGGGAGCTCCACCGAAGGTCCCAGTGGCAGGGTTCGCATGACTGCCCCGCGCCATTTTGACGCACCCCTCACACGGTTCGTGGCCCCATAGGGAGCTCCACCGAAGGCCCCAGTGGCAGGGTTCGCATGGCGGCCCCGCTCTGTTTCGGCGCACCCCTCAGACGGCTCGTGGCTCCATACCGAAGGCCCCAATGGCAGGGTTCGCATGGCGGCCCCGCGCCATTCTGACGCAACCCTCACACGTTTCGTGGCCCCATAGGGAGCCCCACCGAAGGCCCCAGTGGCAGGGTTCGCATGGCGGCCCCGCTCTATTTCGGCGCACCCCTCACCCGGTTCGTGGCCCCATAGGGAGCTCCACCGAAGGCCCCAGTGGCAGGGTTCGCATGGCGGCCCCGCCCCATTCTTGCGCACCCCTCACACGGTTCGTGGCCCCATAAGGAGCCCCACCGAAGGCCCCAGTGGCAGGGTCCGCATGGCGGCCCCGCGCCATTCTTGCGCACCCCTCACACGGTTCGTGGCCCCATAAGGAGCCCCACCGAAGGCCCCAGTGGCAGGGTTCGCATGGCGGCCCTGCGCCATTTTGGCGCACCCCTCACACGGCTCGTGGCCCCATAGGGAGCTCCACCGAAGGTCCCAGTGGCAGGGTTCGCACGGCGGCCCCGCGCCATTTTGGCGCACCCCTCACACGGTTCGTGGCCCTATAGGGAGCCCCACCGAATGCCCCAATGGCAGGGTTCGGTTCGCATGGCGGCCCTGCGCCGTTTTGGCGCACCCCTCACATGGATCGCGGCCCCACAGGAAGCTCCACCGAAGGCCCCAGTGGCAGGGTTCGCATGACTGCCCCGCGCCATTTCGGCGCACCCCTCACACGGTTCGTGGCCCCATGGGGAGCTCCACCGACGGACCCTGTGGCAAGGTTCGCATGGCGGCCCCGCGCCATTTTGGCGCACCCCTCACACGGTTCGTGGCCCCATAGAGCGCTCCACCGAAGGCCCCAATGGCAGGGTTCGCATGGCGGCCCCGCACCATTCTTGCGCACCCCTCACACGTTTCGTGGCCCCATAGGGAGCTCCACCGAAGGCCCCAGTGGCAGGGTTCGCATGGCGGCCCCGCGCCCCATAGGGAGCTCCACCGAAGGCCCCTGTGGCAGGGTTCGCATGGCGGCCCCGCCCCATTCTGGCGCACCCCTCACACGGTTCGTGGCCCCACAATGAGCTCCGCCGAAGGCGAAGGCCCCAATGGCAGGGTTCGCATGGCGGCCCCGCTCCATGTTGGCGCACCCCTAACACAGTTCGTGGCCCCATAGGGAGCTCCACCGAAAGCTCCAATGGCAATGTTCGCATGGCGCCCCGCGCAATTTTGGCGCACCCCTCACACGGTACGTGGCCCCATAGGGAGACCCCATAGGGAGCTCCACCGAAGGTCCCAGTGGCAGGGTTCGCATGGCTGCCCCGCGCCATTTCGGCGCACCCCTCACACGGTTCGTGGCCCCATAAGGAGCTCCACCGACGGCCCCTGTGGCAGGGTTCGCATGGCGGCTCCGCGCCATTTTGGCGCACCCCTCACACGGTTCGTGGCCCCATTGGGAACTCCCCGCGCTTCGTCTCACCTGCCCAGCTGTTCTCACACTTGCGTATAATTGGGTCGTTCGCCAGGATAATGTTGACACACCCGTCACCTGTTTCGTGGCCCATAAGGAGCTCCTCCGAAGGCCCCAGTGGCAACGCCCTCATGCGTCCCCCAACAGAAGATGGAATACCAATCAAGCCCCTGAAATGTTCACGAGATGTCCCCAAGGAAACATATGACCCAATCAAGATGGAGAGAGTCAAGAAACAAGGTGGCAATTACATCAGAGGGCTGACGGACCCCAGGGAAGGGGAGGCAAAAGTTGTTGGACTCCCATAATATTGGGGGACTCATAGCAGAAAACCCCACTGTTGCCAGAGTATTCCGATAAGGGGAAGTGTCCCCCATTTAGAGAAAGTATCCCCAAGAGAGGAATAATCGCAAATACCCCCACGAGAAGCGAAAGGGAAGAAAACGAAAAAGGACTTAAGGAAAAAGTAAACCTAAGAAGTAATGCCCACTTCGGCACACCCCGCACACGTTTCGTGGTTCCCATCCGCGTTGCCCCGTGCTGCATCCCTTTCGCTGCGCGCTGTACGATGAGAAGGACATATCCTACGTTACTCACAACTGCATATGGTTGGGTCCTTCGCCAAGCTAATCAATGTTTTCTAGGGCCGACCACCCCCTGGCTCCCACGCACCTGTAGAACAACGCCCCGTGAAATTGATGTCTGGCGGTCGTTTCGGCCTGGAGACGGCCAAGATTGCCTCCAATATAGCTTCCAAGACAACGGAGACGACAACAAAAGGCTCAAGATGACCCAGGACAGCTCAAGAGCCTCTCAAGAGCGCAAGACGGCTCAAGATAGCCCTAGAGGGCCTCGAGTCGGCGTTAGAGGCCCCCCAAGACGGCCCGAGAGAGCCCCAAGAGGCATTCCTGGAGAGCCCCAGGGAGCCAAACCTACGTGTTGCCTTAAGTGTTCGAAAGATGGTGTGGTTCTCGCCTGTTCGGGTTTCCGACCACCCAAGACGGCCCAAGAGGCTTCCAAGATGCCTCCAAGATGGCCCCAATGCAGCCCAAGAGGCCCCCAAGAGGGCTCCAAGTCGGCCCAAGAGGACCCACAGATCGCCCCAGGGACTCCCAAAGAGGGCCCCACGACGGCAGTGAAGCGCTCCAAGAGAGCAACATGACGGCCTAGACGGGCCTCTTGATGTCTAGGGCGGCCGGAAACCAAAACATGCCAGACCCTCAAAACCCTTCAAACACATTGGGAGCACTACACGTCGTTCATTTCTAGTCGTGCTCATTTCGAATTGTGCTCGTTTCAAATTGTTCCTGGCCCCTAGTGGCCAGGAAGAGGCCCAGGATAGAACAATTAGATATGAAAGGATCTTGGCCCCCAAATTATCCTGGCGAAGGACCCAACCATGCGCAAGTGTGAAAACCGAAGGGCAGGTGGGACGAAGCAAGGGAAATTCCCAATGGGGCCACGAACCGTGTGAAGGGTGCGCCAAAATGGGGCGGGGCCGCCATGCGAACCCTGCCTCTGGGGCCTTCGGTGGAGCTCCTTATGGGGCCACGAACCGTGTGAGGGGTGCGCCACAATGGGGCTGGGCCGCCATGCGAACCCTGCCACAGGGACCTTCGGTGGAGCGCTCGATGGGGCCACGAACCGTGTGAGGGGTGCACCACAATGAGGCGGGGCCGCCATGCAAACCCTGCCACTGGGGCCTTCGGTGGAACTCCCTACGGGGCCACGAACCGTGT